AACATACAACGGATTTCAAGAACTGAGTACATAACTTATGTCGATCATCTGTTGAAACGAAAATAGTTTCGTTCTATTGGGTTAAATAAACTGTATCGGAATTAATTTCATCTGATTCTATCTGCTATTTTTTATAAGTAGCTACTAGCATATTTAAACTACATATGCAACTCACACGTGTGGCTTATAGTCCAGTTGGGCTGTACTCCTCTTAGCACTGTCCCAAATGCTCGTTTAAAATGCTCCCTGGGTCCCACTTTTGAAAATTCTGCTTTAGTACCTCCAGGTTAGGGACTAGAAATCTGATACTTCTTCGCTGTCTAAGTAATTCAATTGTTAAGGCAAACTAGAGAATCGTTGTTTTATACTTCTTTTGACTAGATGATTTTGAGAGTCCTCAGCACAGCAAACAGTGATTCAAAGAGAACAAAGGCAGTAATAGTTTTCAATTTTGATTGCGTGGCAATGGCCACCCACAACAATCATGCATATTTCCCAATTAGCAAAACACATAGTACTCAGCCATAAAAAAGAATGATTTGAGTCAGTCCTAATGAGGTGGATGAACCTAGAGCCTATTATACAGAGTGAAGTAAGTCAGAAAGAGAAAAACAAAGATCGTATATTAACGCATATGGTACTAGTTAGTACTATTAGTACCAAAGATGGTACTAATGAACCTATTTGCAGGGCAGCAATGGAGATGTAGACATAGAGAACAGACTTGTGGATACAGTAGGGGAAAGGGAGGATGGGAGAAATTGAGAGAGTAGCATGGAAACACAAACATCACCATATCTAAGAGATAGTCACCTAGAGCCAGACATCTGGAATCTGAAGTCAAGTGGGCCTTAGGAAGCATTACTACGAACAAAGCTAGTGGAGGTGAGGGAATTCCAGTTGAGCTATTTCAAATCCTAAAAGATGATGCTGTGAAAGTGCTGCACTCAATATGCCAGCAAATTTGGAAAACCCAGCAGTGGCCACAGGACTGAAAAAGGTTAGTTTTCATTCCAATCCCAATGAAAGGCAATGCCAAAGAATGCTCAAACGACCGCACAATTGCACTCATCTCACAAGTTAGTAAAGTAATGCTCAAAATTCTCCAAACCAGGCTTCAGCAATATGTTAACCGTGAACTTCCAGATGTTCAGGCTGGATTCAGAAAAGGAGGAACCAGAGATTAACTTGCCAACATCTGATGGATCATTGAAAAAGCAAGAGAGTTCCAGAAAAACATCTATTTCTGCCTTATTCACTATGTCAACGCCTTTGACTGTGTGGATCACAACAAACTGTGGGAAATTCTGAAAGAGATGGAAATACCACACCACCTGACCTGCCTCTTGAGAAATCTGTATGCAGGTCAGGAAGCAACAGTTAGAACTGGACATGGACCAACAGACTGGATTCAAAAAGGAAAAGGAGTACGTCAAAGCTGTATATTGTCACCCTGCTTATTTAACTTATATGCAAAGTACATTATGAGAAATGCTGGGCTGGATGAAGCACAAGCTGGAATCAAGACTGCCAGGAGAAATATCAGTAACCTCAGATATGCAGATGACACCACCCTTAAGGCATGAAAGTTAAGAAGAACTAAAGAGCCTCTTGATGAAAGTGAAAGAGGAGAGTGAAAATATTGGCTTAAAGCTCAACATTCAGAAAACTAAGATCATGGCATCCGGTCCCATCACTTTATGGGAAATAGATGGGGAAACAGTGGAAACAGTGGCAGACTTTATTTTTTTGGGCTCCAAATTCACTGTAGATGGTGACTGCAGCCATGAAATCAAAAGACACTTACTCCTTGGAAGGAAAGTTATGACCAACCTAAACAGCATATTAAAAAGCAGAGACATTACTTTGCCAACAAAGTTCCATCTAGTCAAGGCTATGGTTTTTGACTAGATGGAACTTTGTTGGCAAAGTAATGTGACAGTTGGACTGTAAAGAAAGCTGAGTGCCAAAGAATTGATGCTTTTGAACTGTGGTGTTGGAGAAGACTCTTGAGATTCCCTTGGACTGCAAGGAGATCCAACCAGTCCATCCTAAAGGAAATCAGTCCTGAGCGTTCATTGGAAGGACTGATGCTAAAGCTGAAACTCCAATACTTTGGCCACCTGATGCAAAGAACTGACATTTGAAAAGACCCTGATGTGGTAAAGATTGAAGGCAGGAAGAGAAGGGGACGACAGAGGATGAGATGGTTGGATGGCATCACCAACTCAATGGACATGAGTTTGGGTAAACTCCGGGAGTTGGTGATGGACAGGGAGACCTGGCGAGCTGTGGTTCATGGGGTCACAAAGAGTCAGACATGACTGAGCAACTGAACTGAACTGAGTGAGAATTTGGTGCATGGGAGCTCAACCCAGTGGTCTGTGACATGGGTGGAAGGTGGGAGGGAGGTACAAGAGGGAGGAGATATATGCATACCTATCTACCGCTGATTCATGTTGAGGTACGGCAGAAAGCAAGACAATACTGGAAAGCAATTATCTTTCAATTAAAAATAGATAAAATAAAAAATTAATTAATTAAAAAATAAAACCACAATACACCATTTTACTGGAGAAGGAAATGGCAATCCACTCCAGTTTTCTTGCCTGGAGAATCCCAAGGACAGAGGAGCCTGGCGAGCTACAGTCCATGGAGTTGCAAAGAGTCGGACACGACTGAGCAACAAACACAGAGCATTTTACGGGCCTGGAAGTCAGGTGGGAACAATTAAGTTATACCTATCACAATGTAAGGGCACATAACCTTTGACTCATTTCTAGAAATGGATCCTGCAAATCTTCTCAAAAGTTCATTAGGATACATCTATAATTCACTTTGGTAGTATTTGAAATAGTGAAAAGCTATAAAGTTATGAAATTATGACACATCTGACTGAACACTCTGCAGGCTATAAGCAAGGTCATCTATATGTACTGACATGGAAAGAGGTCTATGATATTTACGACAGGCAAAGCAAGTTGCAAAAAAGGACAGATCCTATTTATATGTGAAAAAATGTGTACATATATTTATATATGCTTAGAAATTTTCAAAAACCACTAATATTAATTACTGTAATAGCAAAGATTCCCAGTGATATGAAAAGGAACTTTTACTTTGCTTTTTATATCCTTTTGCATTGGTTTAGCTTTTAAAGATGAGCAACATGCAAAATTTACATTGCACATTACAAAAAACGCTATTTTCAAATCTACACAATGCCCAACCATATAAACACTTCAACGCTTTGGTTCCTGTTACAGAAATTTGCTTTTCACTGCTGCCTTTTAATCTGGAGTCTTTAAATTGTTTTCACTTTAATTTTCTAAAAAGCCATAGCATATACTCATTCATTGATGGAATCAGTTGTTACTGACGACATACTTTATGCCAGGCACTATGGTAAGGCAGAAAAACGAAGAGCAGGGCACCAGGGGAGGGCTATAACCAAATGCACATGTACATAATAATTAGTAGTGAGGGCTACGAAGGCCTGAATTTTCAGATGCTGAAATGTCCAAATGTCGTGTACTCCCACGTGTGCATAGTACATATATTTACCCATGCGTGCTCAGTCGCCTCCGGCTCTTTGGGACCCCATGGACTGAAGCCAGTCAGGCTCCTCGGTCCATGGCAAGAACCCTGGAGTGGGTAGCCATTTCCTCCTCCACCCAGCCATAGAACCTGCTGCTGCTCCGTTTCCAGTATGGGCAGGCGAATTCTTCACCACTTAGCCGTCTGGTTCGCCCCATCTTTACCCACACACGTGTGTGTGCCAAGTGGTTTCGGTCTTTATCCGTGCATATATAAGTGCTACTGAATTAAAGTGTCGTTTGGATAAATTATTCTGGGAAATTTCCCAAATTAATCCTTCTCCTGCATTCATTATAAAGAATTTAGTGCAAATTATTTTTTAATAGCAAAGGTTTTTTTTTTCCTTTCTTTTTTTGGTTGTGTCAACTTAGGAAAATTACTTAGCTACTGCAGGCCTTAGTTTTCTCCTCCGCCAAGTGGAGGATGTACTTCTCGGGTCTGCTGTCTCGGGGAGAATTTTCTGCGCTGATCAGTGTTCACAGCAGCGCCGGGCACCCAGCGGCGTAGGGGTGGGACGGGTCCGATAAAGCGCAGTTGGGCGCAGGCGGCGCAGCCGGCCGGCTCTCCGGAGAGGCGCGGCGTTCTCACTGTGGATCAGGTGAGAATCGCGGCGCTTTCAAAGACTTTTCATCCAAGCATTTCTGCCCGGCGATTTCTTTTTCAGGGCGCGCTGCGGCTACAGGGCGTCAACTCCCCAGCCAACCGTCCAGCTCGACTTCTTGAGCGGATTACAGGCTAAGGCCGCCGGCGCTACTAAACTCAAGTCCACAGACGCCCCCCAGACGCCCTACGCATCCGGAGCGGACTTGGCTCTGGGTAGGCGGTAGCCTCGCCTCTAAAGGAGGCTGTTCGTTTAAATTCTGGCGCCACTCCCGCGCCACGTAGAGCCAGTCTCGGAAGCGACGGACAGCGGCGCGGCAGCGGGCGTGCGCCCAGGGCTGGACGTGCGCGCCGCGGAGGGGCGGCGCGCGCACCCCGCCGCGGAACAAGCCCCCGAAAGAAAAGAGCCGCCTGGCGCGCTCTCGCTCCTCGCGTCAGGAGCCGGCCACGCCCCCGTGCTCTCCAGGGTCCAATAGAGGCGAGAGGGCGGGGCGGCCTCCCGCTGGCTCAGAAGAGGCTATATAAGGAACTGCAGGCGGCCCGTTTCGGTCTTTTACGTCGGAACTTGGGAGCGGGCTGCATGTGCTAGGTAAGTACGCGTTGCTGGCGGACGTGCGCGCGAACCTGGGTGGCGCAGCTTGGGTTGGGGAATGCGATACGGTAAAAAGATTTCAGAAATTGAGGGTTAGAGTGCGGCGTTGAGTATTTGCACATGGAAAACACGCCGCCGGACCGCCACGTGTCCCCAGTCGCGGTGGCGATCGGCTTTGAGCTTCGGCCTGCGTAGGCTGCTGCTGGTGGTCATGGCGCTGCGCGCGGCCGGGTTGCTAACCCGGCTGGATAATCCTGAACGGCGCACGGGAAACGACCACATTTCTGGGACTTGGGGCGGGAGTTTGCTTTACGTTGACTTCGAGGCCTTAGATACGTCGTCGTATCAAATGTTAATTTCAAAATCGGCAGCTACTTACTGCGTGAGACTGAGTTGTATCGTGCCCAGGTGGCGCTGTGTGCAAATCGAATTGTTGGAGGGGAAGGTTTTAGTGCTGAAAACCTTGAACTATGACCTTGCATGACAATACTTAATTTTTAATATATTTATTCTTCCGCAGGTTAATGTATTGATTCTCCCGCTGGAACAATGGGTTTCAGTGTAGCGGAACTGTTACATGGAGATGCTAAGGTAAGTGTTGAGTGCTTAGTTTTAAGCTGAGGAATAAACCTGTTGATTTACAGGAAACATGATGCATCATTTGAAATTGTTTTCTTTTTTTTTAGATGCAAAGGTACATTTCAAAACATACCGGACAGTATTGGCTGGAAAATGACTTGGTTAAAACCTGATGATCTTACCAGGTATGCGTTCGACTAGTACTTTGAATCTCTATATGCTTAGTCCACGTGTAGATTACATGAGAAAAATATTTTTGTTTTTTAACAGCGTTCTGCAGATTGATGAATACTAATGAAGCTGTGGGTGTCACTGAGCAGCTTCATTTTAAAGTTACCCTGACTTACATCTGCTGCAGTAATTCCGAGGTTTGTGGTAAATGTCGGTGTGGTGTAGCTTAATGGATTTTGGTCTGATCAATGATGAAGCCAATCCCGAAGCTGATAACCTGAAGAAACGCATGTACGGATTCGGCTTCTGAGACAAGGCTAATGTGCAGATATGAGTAGAAGTTTTACAACAGATTCCTGTTGGGTTATCCCTCATAGAGAAAAAACTTAATTCACAGTAGTGGGGTTTTCTGTGCCAACAGTGAGGGGTTGCTGTCTGCCTGTTGAAAGAAGTCGGTGTGCTGTGACATTTCGAAGGTGGAACCATTTCTGTGAGTGGAGATGTTTTGCTTAAAAATCAGTAAACATTGTGTCCTTGGTCTTACCTATGATGATCCTATCCCGAACCTGAATTTCTGTTGAAAAAACTTAATACGGATCTGGCTTCTGAGGTGGACCTAATAAGGACAACAGCATTTTTGAAAATTGTTTAAGTTTTTTGATGTTGACAGTTTTGTAAACTTCAAATGTTTTTCCTTTCCTAGGACTAGTGCTGCGAGATTTACTTGTCTGTCATGAAAATCTGGTGATTGGGAAAATCTCCATTTTATGGATGTGGGAAGAAAGTTCAAGATGAATTATATTTTTACATTGGTTTGTACATAGATTCTGAACCAGCATCGAGTCTAGATAATGCATTCATGAGTCAAGGCATTTCTGTTTGACCATGACACTGCTGTAGAATCATAACCTGTTAACCAGTGTATTACTTTCTACCTATGAAACTGTTTTGAAAGGAAAATTCTTTTCTAGTTATCCAGCCTTGTAATTAAATAATTTTGAATAGCCTTTGGTTCTCTGTCTGAATTGAGTTTAAACTGCGTGATTGTAATTACACCAAGTTAAAGTGTATACTCTTGCAGTGGAATCTTTAGTCAGATTTCTATGGAGAGATGGTTTGGTTTGGCAAGAATAAGTAATGTGGAAAACGTTAGCTTCAATCAGGGTGGTATTACTGAATTAATGGGATGAGAGCAAAGTGTAAGAAATGGGACCTGTTAACATTGAGGGAAGGTCACTGATAAAAATCTGGGTTAAAACTGGTCAAACACTGTATGGAATGGGTTAGTGTAAACAATAATAGCATCTAATCTAACCAAGGTGGTTGGGCCCTGCTGCTGTTAAGTCACTTCAGTTGTGTCCAACTCTGTGACCCCATTCTCTAGGCAAGAATACTGGAGTAGGTTGCCATTTCTTTCTCCAGTTGGGCCTAACCCTAGCCTGTTTCCATATTGAAACATTAAAGTCAGTGCCAATATTATCTGAGTGAACTCTTCAAATGTTTGCTTGCTGAAGTGATGATTCGGGGCCCATGTACCTCAGATTCATGAGACTGAGCCTATAGTTGAGTGCCCAGTATTTCTTATAGTAAATGACCTCCATGTATAACTTAGTTCATTTATTATGTCCATTTGGAAATCAGCACCCTGATCTCCCTTACTCTGCTCTATTTGGAACTGAAGTATGGTTTATAAAATCTGAGCATTGGCATACCTGTATCGAGACACCTTGATAGCAACCTGGCACTTGGTTGCCAATAAATGCTGAATGCTTAATGACCCATTGAGGGGGACTTTCCTGATTGTCCAGTAAAGACTGCTTCCAGTATAGGTGCTGCTGCTAGCGTTGGTGAGCCTCCATGCAGAGTGCACAGCCAAAACCCTAAAACATTCAAAGTTGGCTAACATGACAATCAAGGCAAACTTATGAATCAGACTTGGTTTTAGAGCACTTAAGGTTTCCTTTATGGCTCAGTTGGTAAAGGATCTGTCTGCAATGCAGAGTCCGTTTCCCTCCCAGTCAATCTTAAGATTCAAACGATGTACACATGTTTCATTGCACTGTAGTGGGTTGGGTCCTGAGAGTTTGATCCAAATAAAAGTAAGTCCATTTGAGAGTATAAATATTAAAAATGGATTGAAAACATACAGTTGTGGAAGTTGGGAAAGCTCATTGTACTGACTCAATGGAAGGCAAGGGAAGCCTAGCATGCTGCAGTTCATGGGGTCACAGAGTCAGACACTGCTTAGCAACAAAACCAATACCAGACTTGAACCAGTAAGAATTTTCTCAGCTTTACACCATGCTTCCAGGTTATCTTAAAATAGAGTAGGTTCAATTCTACTGTTTGGTATTTTCTAGTGAAGTGAAGGTTGCTCAGTCTTATCCAACCCTTTGCAACCCATTGGACTGTGTAGTCCATGGTACTCTCCAGGTCAGAATACATTCCCTTCTCCAGGAGATCTTCCCAACCTAGGGGTCTTACCCATGTCTCCTACATTGCAAGCAGGTTCACTGAAGTGAGCCACTGGGGAAACCCCAAACTAGTTACATTGCCAGAAATCCAATATCCATTGCACTTGGCTTCCTTATCAAGTGCCCTCTGAACTGTGTATACAGTTCATAATCCTTGCTGTTTGCCCAGCTTCTGAGAACTTTTGGCTGTTTTTAAACCAGTTTTTCCATTAAATTTAAAGCCTTTAAATGCCAACCTATGTACAGATAACCAGGCTTCCCTGGTGTCTCAGGGTAAAGCGTCTGCCTACAATGGGAGAGACCTGGGTTCAATCCCTGGGTCGGGAAGATCCCCTGGAGAAGGAAATGGCAACCCACTCCAGTATTGTTGCCTGGAGAACAGCACAGACGGTGGAGCCTGGTAGGCTGCAGTCCACGGGGTTGCAAAGAGTCGCATGACTGAGTGACTTCACTTTCCTTTTTCCTTTCCTTTCCTATAGACGGATAAGTCAAAATACAAGCATGCTACAGTTTTTGTGGATCATCTTGAGGTGGAGGAAGGGTACCTTTCCAATATGAAAACCAGACTTGGTCTCATTCTCACAAATCCTGGCCTCATCCTCTGACCACTAGTCAACCTGAGGTTCTGACATGCTATGCAGCTGAGTTATAACAGGATATAGATTTAATCTCACAAGAATCCCACACTGAGTACAGTATAATCATATTTGGAAACTTTACCTTAGTTATGCTTAGTTGATTCAGTTCTCTTCAAAAGAGTTAACAATGGAAAGAGCATTTCAGAATACTCAGAATTCACCATTTGAAGATGTTTGCTAACAGTGATTACTGAGGTCAGGAAACGACCCTTGCCTCTTAACTACTGAAAATATATATGTCAATAAATGGTTCATTTTAAAAGTGTACAGTTTGATGAATCTCTATAAAAATGCACCCATGAAACCATTACTGCAATCAAGATAATAAAGTCCATCTCCCCAAAAGTGCATTTTTACAGAGGCTTGATTTTGAACATACTAAGTTTGAGATGACATGTGATACTCAAATAAGATTTTGAGTTAGATATGAAAGTTCAGAGGAGAGATCGAAGCTGGAGAGAGAAACTTGGGAGTTGGCAGAATGTGAATGGCCATATACTGAGGTCACTGAGGGAGTGACTACAGGAGAAGTGATCCAAGAGTTGAGTCCCCGGACATTCCAGAAGTAAGACATGGCAAGTTTAGTCCAAATCATAGAAATTATTTTGTACCAGCAAACAAAAACTGGGAAGCAGAAATCTGTTTTCAAATGCAACTACCATATCTGAAACAAACTAGGTGGAAAATGGAGGCGTTCAGAAAGCAAGGGTGTGAATTAAGCAATAATTGCTTGGGGTAATGGGGCTGGAGGTTGCCTTGTATTTAATACAGAGCACTGGTCAGCGTGAAAATTGAGGGAGTTGTAAGGACAACTTTACAAAGTATTAGGCAAAGTGGTGTCCAGGAAAGAATGAGATGAGGAATTTAGAAAGTGTGAAAAGAGTTGTCATCAGACACTGGACTGATGAGAAATGGAGTTGACTACAGACATGTTAGAGATGTGCCTTTTGGTGCTAAAGTGCCCAATGAGGCTGAAAATTGCTAAGTGTGAGAGTTAATCAGCATCATTCTTACCTGTTGTCCTGTGGGGCTTATCCACATGGGAGCAGAAAGCAGATTAATGGATTAATCCAAAATTTGGGATAAACTGGCCAGAAGGAGCAGAGCCATGACGGGCCAATTGAGAGTGTAGGTGAAAGTGGTGTTAAAATTGACCTTGAAATCCATGCTGATAAGGGAGAGAAATTAGTGCTGGAAAATGTCCCAGGTAATGACGAAGATTAGGTGTACCACAGAGAGATGATGAAAATGAGGTAAAATAAGATCCTTTCCAGTTACACTACAAAATGACCCACAGCTTGTTGTGTTTCTAATTAGTGGTTTATTTCTCTCTGGTCCTAGAGTGAGTTCTTCTCAAGCAGAAACTGCCCTTTTACCTCTTACACTCTGTGCCTAGTGCAATGTAAAGGCTCCCATTACAAATTTGTCTCATTATATGGAATTCAGTATGTACATTTAAGGTGGGCAATGATGATACGATCTAAATTCTCCAAAAGAAATAAATGGGAAAAGTTGGAAACAGGGATTCGGTATGTGTGCCCTCCCAGAATTCTTAGGTTGAAGCCCTAACTCCCACGTGCCAATCTTTGGTGATGGAGCCTCAGGGGAAGTGGTTACGGTTG